ACTTTTCCCACCAGGCCATTAAAAAAACCCCAGGAGCCTGACAGCAGACAGCTCTATAAGCCGGCCGTGCCAGAGAGCGGCCAGTCTGGCACGCCCTCTCTGAGCTGGCTACGGACACAGCGCCCCCCGCTGTCACAGCCGGGCTCCACACATTGGTTATCCGGGCCAATTAAACACTGGGACTTGTCCAGCAATACCTTTGTCACTCATCGTAAAATATTAACTTTACATAAGTTATTTTTTAAATATCATATTAATGTGTATATATAGCAACTGTATCCCGTGTTTTTGGTTAATTTGGACACTCTCAATGTTTATAGCTGAAGTCAGACCTATAAAGTAATAAACTGGGAATCCGTGCCAGACGCAACTTCTCCACATGCTGAGCACTAACCAGATTTAATTAGTGTCTTGTTCCTGCTAGCTACATTTAAATGTTTTCATTTTAACAAGTCAGTACGTTCGGGTTTGAAAAATTTTTTTTTTCTTCATCATTTCCTACAGGTTGATTTTCAGATAAAAACACATGTGGATGTGGCAAAGCAGGTCAATTTTGGGCACAATTATGCGTATTTGCTTACACGATAATTTATTACTTATTTGTATGTACAGAACATGTAAATTAGTTATATGTAATTCATATCACAATTTAAATGCTTTGTTATGCGTTCTTATGTTTCATTTGCCTGACAGCCGCAACCTGTACTCCAATGCTGCGCTCCGCTTCTAAACTTCTAAGCAGGAAGCCATGGGAAGGTGTGCATGTCCTGACCTCTGCTGGTCAGAATTGAGATAGCAGCTATAACAACGTTTCGCTTAGTGTACTGTGGCGTAGCCTTGTTTTCGTAATATTTCAGTATGTTCATACTCTGCATTGAACTAAAAATAACAGTACATACACGGTGACCTACAGGAGCTAAAAAATGTACAAAAATATAGTTTTTATTATGTTAAATGCTGTAACACATTATACATGTATGAATTTTGAGACTGAATTCACATTTATTTATGAGTTATTGGTTATTTTTATTTTCCACTCGTGACAAATGTTTACCATCTACTGTAATTTGTCTTAGCCAGCATGCAAGCACAAAGCTGTCAAGTTAATGGATTAACTTCAGGTCTGTTACTCTCAGCTTTCTGTAGAATTACAGAATGATCAAGTGCTCCTTCCTGTAAGCACCTGCCACGGCAAAAATATTGTGTGAAAAGGCTTAACCCAGAAACAGAACTACACGTGGCTCCTGCTTTTGCACTGCCTAAACGAATCCACAAAGCTGCATTCTTAACCCGTATTTGGTTAATGATAAAATTTGCATATGCTTAATATTAACGAGGCATTGGATTTGAGTGCAGTGAAGTGTTCATACGTTTTACACCTTTCATCTGTTATCCTCTCTTGAGATGAAAGTTCTACATGAACCAAACTGTGTCAAAAGCTGCAATAATCTGTACAGATGGGATTCTCTGCTCCGTTCTGTGTTCAGTCTTCAAAGTATGATACCTAAGAGCTTCTTCATGATTAAAGTTATTCCCGTCCAATTTATAGCAGTGGATTTGAGGGTGTACGTGGGAGAAGGGGTCTTCGATCAACCTTTACCCACGTGGTTATGACTGACTTTAAACGGGAAAGTACGTTGCGATATCAGGTTTGCTTATGTGGATCGGACAGTACAATTGGGATTCTCAAAAGGAATTTTAAAGCACATCGATCTACTATGGGGTTAAGGGGAGGCAGGTTAGACATACGTGCAAAGGCAGTATTTGTTAAGTCTCCCATAGTCAGTGGCAGCAGAGGGAGGGCAGTTTGTAGATGCTGAAAATGAGTACGCCAACTTCTCCAGTCTATAAAGCATTAAATATGCAATGTGTTTGTACAAAGACGTATTTTCATTCTTTGTCCCCATTAGCGACGACTTTACAAATCAAGAACAGCATCACAGGCAGACAAAACAATGTTTTACAGTATTAAAAGTCAGTGTGGAAGAGAAGATGCAAAACAAAAACTCATGTAGGGGGGTAAAAATCCGCTTTGTGTCTGAGACTGAATGGCCGTCTGAACATCTGTGCATGCTAACTGTGTTTTACAAAGCTAACCTATTTCAGAAGTTCATGGCTGATTTCATACAGAACAAAAACATGCATGAATACATTTTCGATTTGTACAGGGCACCATTCCTACAGCATCTTGTCCAGGATGAGTATTTGGGAGATATATACTGTATATATATATATATATATATATATATATATATATATATACAGTAGCTGTTAGCTAGTTTATTTGAGCTTAATTAAGATCTAAATTTAGCCACATTAAGTATATCCTTATTTTGTGAATTGAATTAATATTGGGAAATTAAGATTCACATTAATAGCACAAACCCCTTTTGGCTCATCTTGACCACATAAACCTGTGATCAGATTTTGCTCTGAGCGCTGTTTAATGAATTTATGTAAGGTTTTTCAATTGTTATTAGCGTGACGGTACAAATTTTTGGCATTTTAAGGCACCAAAGCGTTAAAGCATTGAAAAATAACCCCTGGGGGGCTTTGTGGGGCTGCTGGCTACTTAAATGGCAGAGAGTTCATGATGAGGTCATCAGGCATGTGACAGGTTTTCAGAGGAGCTTTAGCTGCAACTTATCATAACAATGAGAGCTTAGATACAGCTAGATACCGCATTGGCTTTTCGAAGCCTTGGGGAAATTTTGTTCCAATTATGTAGCCACTGCACTTAAATCCAGATACAAAAGGAAAAATACATTTGGCAAAATAACCAAAACAAGCATGTTTCATATTTCCTCTTATCGTGCTGAAAAATGAGTAAAAAAAAAAAATGGAAATCTAAAAAATATGTCATTTCACATCATTTAGCATCAACTACTGAAATAAGGGAAAGACTAAAGTATCCTGGTTGGGCACCATGGAACAGGAGAGCAGAGTCAGTGTACATGTACGTTAGATTGTGTACATGTATGTTAGATTGTGTACATGTACGTTAGATTGTGCGTGAAACTGTATTGGAGGTGTTTCTGCATTATTATTTCAGAAGAACTTTGTCCAGTTTTTGTTTTGTTGATTGTGGCGTTTGTCTAAGGAACTGCTCCAGAATATAGCTGTCCTGTTGGGTTTACATTTCTTGACCGTTCAGTAACTACTTTTCGCACTGCAGACTGAAGGGCATTATCATCTTACAAGGCCTCATTACTATCAGAGTAAAAATGAGCGATGGTTCTGAGATGGCTCGGAATGGGTTTGTGTTTATTGGTAATTACCTTACCCCCTAAAGGGTTGAATAGACCTAATCCATGCCAAGGAAATGCATCCCGAACCTTAACAGGGCTGCCAGAACCCCTTTACCGTGGGAAGCGACTGCTAAACGCTGTAGGCTTCCTTTGGCGTGCAGAACACATGTACTCGTCCACTTGTTGAACAGGATGAAGGGTGACTCATCTGACCACATGACTTTTTTCCCCCAACGGCTCAGTAAACCACTGCTTGTGTTCTTCCCACCACTTTGCTCATAAAAGTGTACGTTGGGTGCAAAAAGGGGTTTACGCACTGCAACTCAACCATAGTATCCCTGCCAGTGAAGTTCACAGCGGACCGTGCTTCACATAACTGCTTGTTCATGCCTCAGACTGACATTTGCAGTCAGCTGATGCAGCGTTTTTCCAGTTGAATCCACGCTTGGACGTCAGTTGAGGAGTATGTGCTCTGGTTCCCCCTGGATGGTGATGATGTCTCTCTCTCAAAATTCCATGTTACTTTGGCCGTTGTTCCTTGTGAAATATTAGCAAGCCACACAATGTTTGTCACTGACGCTCCCGTTGACACAGATCTCTTGATCTCGCCAAGGAGCTAAAATAATGGCCATATTTAAGCAGGACCGTAATTAACATCTCAGCCTGGCGGGACGTTAATTGCCTAAATAACTCAGTGTGTTGCTGGTTGTGTAGATTCTTGGTATTTAAGAATGAGTTTTTTTTGTTACGTTTATTTAGTGAGGCCCCTACACGTCATCAAGAGAATATGTAAAATTCAATAAAAAGATGGTCGTACTTTTTTTCATGGGTTTTTGTAATACTCATATGAGGTGTAATGAATGTTGTCTGATCTGTGTACAAATACTGCAATAAACAGGACTGAATAAGCCTTTAATTTGTACTTTTAACTCGCAGCACCTGAGATTAATTAAAATTCCTTCACCTTTAAAAGCTTGCAGGCGGCATCATAGGTTATCAACGGACTTGCCAACCATTCATTAAGATACAGAGTATTTGTGGAACATGCAAAAAGCTGATGAAGAAGCCATGTATATGGGTCTCCAAGTACCTTTCATGCGGAATATAGCAAGACTCACGTGTCACATGTGATAGATTTAAAATAGCAATAGCATTCGTTTATAGCAATAGCACTTGTTTATTCATGTAGCGTGTTAGCAATAGATAACATGCCTTTTGTATGCATGTAGAGAATCAGAGCCAAAGCAAATATTCTTAGTTGTAAATGTAATTTGAATCTGAAGAAAAATCTCTGTGTCTGTGGTTCGGCCCATTTTTGGTTTACATTAGCGCTATCAGACACTTTTCAGCCATCTGGCTAGATCGTCAGACAGTGGTAGTCAAATATAAACCAGTGTACCTCACTCTTCAAATGAAACCTTAACTTTTTAATGAATTTCAGGACTGGAATGTTGGCTGGAAATGAAAGGACTTTTTTTTCTTCATTATTTAACACGAAGTCTGTCGTGCTAATCAACACATGCAGTTGCGTTGTCAGGCTTCCTCGTGGGAAGCAGAAGCAGGAGATGGGAACGCAGCAGTGATGTGTAGGGCATCCTCCAGGATCACGTGACAGGTGCTGAGGAGCAGGGAGCAGAAACGCCTTCCGGAAGACTCCCTACTCAGCACGTGTCCTCTGATTGCTGTTTGTTTTGCCCCGTCGTTCCTGACGCGATGTCCCCTGACCGTTTCTCTTCTGCTCTCTTTTTGCAGCTAGTCTATAAAGCCTGGTTATGCTCTGAATATTTTAACGTCACCCAGAGACAATGCCACCACAGAATTCCCTGCAAGCAATACTGTCTGGAGGTCCAGACCAGATGCCCCTTTGTGTTGCCAGACAATGATGACTTAGTCTACGGGGGATTATCGAGTTTCATCTGTACAGGTAAGTGCCGGCCTGTGAGTGACTGTCCCCCCCTAACAGGAGAAGGTCATTTTCCTGTTTCGCTTCTCCTTTGTTAGGTCCCAACCCCCCAAACAGTAATTGCATGTCAGCAGAGGCTATTTTGTATCACGCATGGCAGCTGGAAGAACCAGCCCCTTTCAGCACCACAATAAGCGTCTCAGGTACTCAGTTGACAGGCCTCTGAATACACGTACTCGTACAGAGAGTGTATTTTTGTTTTCACATTCCTTTAAAAGTCTGGTCGTGTTTCAGAGCCCCAAGCCCCAAGGAAACAAAATAAATTGTCCAGCCTCAGCGTGACCTTGGAGTAACCTTCAGTCACATGTCTTGGTCTGATACCACGTAGGTTTCTGCATTTTATTGACTCTTTCAACCCAAGTATTTTTAAAACATTCATAATTTATTTTAGCTTACCATTTACAGAGTAAAATATAGTCAAAGTCACCCACAATATTATGCTTTTAAAATTTTCATTAAATCTGGGATTTAAATGGGCACATTTTTATACTGTATTGAGTATTGGGAACAGAGACTGCTACCTCAAAACACGATATAATATGCCCGCTTGGAAAGCATGGCATCTTTCATTCATTTCATTAAAATCAGACCCCCCTAGAAAAGGCTTGCCCCCCCCCTCCCTTTCATAAATCTCCTGAGATGTTCCTGTTGAGAATAGAGGTGGAAAACCACTCTGCTTTGGTATGGGACAATTTTTATGTCAAACAATAAGCCAATATCTGCTGTATTTCTTGTACAATACATTGTTTACCCCTCAATTTATGCTGATATTACATATATATATATATGTGTGTGTGTGTGTGTGTGTGTGTGTGCATAGGCAGGGGTACCATAAAAGAGGAGAAAGTTAGGATGATTCCAAGGGCCCTTAAGTAGTGGTCGCCCTAAAATTTGGAAGGTGCTTGGTCCGGGCTGGGGGCCCAATATGTGTTTTCAAGGACCGCATCTCTAACCGCACCCCTGAGTGCCGTCTTCTGAAAGAAGAGAGCGGTAATAATGTATTATGTACTAGAAAACCGACACTGAGCTACACATTAGCCCAGGTATAAGCTGGATCTAATAAAAGCTGAATGTCCTTGTCTTGGTCTCTCATATTTCTCCCTGCTCAATCCACATTTGAAAGAATGAAAGTCTGTCACCCATTGGCCGCCTATGGTGCCCATTACCTATTAGTAGGTATTTTCAAGGGGTTGCGGCCAAAGACACAGATCACTTGTATCCAGGCTCTGGTCGGTTGCAAATTATCAGTTGCAGATACATTCTATTAAACAGTCCATCCTGTGCAGGCCCCGCAGCTCTCGTTGCTTTTCAAAGGAAGACGTAGTGATGAGTGTTTAATGGGTGTTTAGGTCGGCTGTGACGACCAGTTTCAGAGCCGCTATTGCTCACCCTCTGAGGAGCGTTTGCCTACAGTGGTCCCTCTCTCAAGGGACCAAAACAATAGAGGGTGCGGGACGAATGATTCAGTTTGTGCCTTTGTTCCTCAGCCATCGCGGGAAGACGTACCGAGAAACCTGCCTGTTTGTTTTAGGCGCCGTGACGACACATTTTGTGACTAATGCACCGTCTGGAATCCTCATGTCCACAGCAGCTCTCATAAGTCAACAGCGGTTAAACTCAAACACGTTCACAAGTCAAAACATTTATTCCTGCTGTGGAAATCAGCTCTGCGAACGTTCCATTCTTTCTTTTTAAGATATCAAAATATTTATCTGTGTGCTTAGAAATATAGGTGGATTATACGGCGATTTCGAAACCGCCAGTGATTCATTTTCTTTAAATCACGAAATAGAAGTCATATCCAATATGACTCATTATGTACATTATGGGTTCCATTATAACCTCAGTCAGTCACAGAGCAACTGTGAAATGCATGAAATGGACGTCTGAAGGCAGGAGCGATATGTCGTTAAAGCTTCTACGTGTTTATGAAAAACCTCCAGTGTCGTCATTGTGAGGATATGATAGCTGAGTCGGGTAACTGCAATTAGGGTTAAGTGCCGTGCTCAAGGGCCCAATACTTTTATGATTATTCTGCCAGCAGGGGATTTGAACTCATAACCTTCTGGAAAAGTGGACAGCTCCCTTACCTGCTGAGTCCTCGATAACCTGCTGCCCTCTGTTGTGTCTTGGTCCACTAGAAAGTGACTCCACCGGTGAAGAGCCAGAGTGCTGCGATGTCAGATGGAACAGCTGTGATCCGGTAGGGGAGGGAGCCTGTAACATGTCGGGCAAGCTCCCGGGCACCCCTAGGGGGCAGCGACGCTCATCGCAGCCCGTGTCGGCGGCCACGGCCCCCCGGCCCTGCGGGGGCAGCCGCCTCCGGTTCTGCGTCCTGGTCCTCATCCTGCTGCACACGGTCGTCACCTTCTCCAGCGCACAGGGCGACGCCACGAGGGTCGGCCTGGAGGCCCTCGTGCCCCTGGAGGAGAGCACAGCCAGAGAGGAGTGAAAGCAGAGGAGAGTCCCTCCTTTAGACTCTCGCAGGGGATTTATTTTTAAATGAGGTGTATGGTTACCCTCGGACAGCTGGCCTATGGTGTGTGAGGTGGGGGGGCGGCAGAGATCACGGGAGGCACAGCCTCATGGATGCACACTTACTTTTCGTTTATTTTTTTCGTCTGTCTGAAGGCATGTCGTTCACCTTTGTCCAGGAAGTGTCTGGGAACAAGTGGCCTTTTTTACACTTTTCACACCCCCTGTGCAGGACATCATAGCAGACCAGAACTTTTGTTTTTTTATAATAAAAGTATAACATAACATATATAAATATATATATATATATACACTGGAGATTAAGAAGTAACAAAATGGATTTAAGATGATGCCTATTTTGCCTTTTGTACTTGAGCATTTTACATATTCTGTTGCTTCTGGTGAATATTTCCAATTAAACACAACTGTTTGTTTCACTCATTGAGGTTATTTACCTCCATTCATCCACCTTCCAGCCTCTTATCCTGAAGAGGGCTATTTACAGTTTTTTTTCTTTTAGTTTTTTTTTTCCAGTGAGTTTGCAGTGAATGACTGATTGATCAGTCAGTAATAGCAAGATGAAAACAATTCAGTAGCGTTTGACACCACAGAATTCTCTCACCTCCAAAACGCTTATAAAAACAAATCATAAAATTGTGCATTATAGACAAATAGCATCTTTGTTCTGTCTATTTTTTTTTTCCTTTGGTACTTGTGTGATTATCATACTTCTGTTTTCATTCGCAAAAGTGACAAGGGCTCTTGACAGACTTTTGTAATGTATTGAAATATACAAACTCTGTATGTTTGCAGGAATAAAATCAAACAGCCGCCCCGTTTACCAGCTGGTACAGATCACCTTGTGGCCAGGATTCCCTTGAAAATGTTGAAATACAGTGAAAAAAAAGGTCCTTCTTGATTTATCCATGCTTTATGAAGCCCACATGTTCCAAAGGTGTGGCACAGCAATCTTGAAGACTTTGCTAGTTAAAATATGTTAAGATAAATCATTCACACATGTTTCTGCTTGTCCGGGATTAAATTTTACTTTACTGTTTTTTTCCTTCTTGAGTTTGATTGATGAACTTTGAGGAAAAAAGGCTTTATTCTCCCTTGTCTTTTTGAAAATTCCTTCATTGTTGGTTCATTTAGAACAAGATCTTTTTAAGTACTGGACCCCTTGTATTTGGAAAACAGTCGAATGGGTTGGATGAAAGAAAAAGTAACCAAAACTCTGTTCAAAGTGTTCAATTACTATATTATAATGAATTTACAATTTGAATGCATACGTATGAATAGAATTCTGTTTTTTGTCATTGTTGTAGTCATATGTTATTTTTCCTGAAAAAGATGAAACAATTCAATTCAGATCCAAGTTTTTTTTTTTTTGGTTGTGACTGGAAAAGTGAGGATAACAGAACAAACTGACATCGTTCTATCAAGGACGGGAATAATTAGCTATGGTATCTTGACCAAGTGTGACAAAATGGCTCAGTGGGAACGTCAGGTGACAGTGCGGAGCCAGCTGTCAGCCACCAGTCACGTCCTGTCACTCCTCCTCTCGGTGCGTAACTCCGCTGCTTTCGCTTGACAGAATGGAAGCGGAGCTGTTAGGGAACAGGTGTGTAAATCAGAGGAGTAACACAGCAACTGTCATCTGCTTCCCAGCGGGCAGAGGGATGTGTACAGGTGAGTCAGAGAAAGATGTGATAAAGGGAGCAGCCCCCCCCAAATCTCACCACCCTGGATTTATTAGGAAAGCATGACATGAAAATTAATATCACTGTTTGTATTATAATTTCATAAAGCTATTTTAATGTACACATAACGATTATATAGATCATAATGTTAAAAATGCAAAAAAACAAGACACTTTTTTTTTAGACGAAGCTATTGCGTCTCTATAAGAAATTTATTGACTTAATGATCAATGCGGTTTGTGAAAGTTTTCCTTCTTTAACAGAAAATAGTCCATGTTTCCCCCTAAAAAAATAAACAATGTCCATTAGTTACTACATGGTGTAACTCTATGCATGTGTGATATCTAAGGTTTTTTTTTTTCTTTGAAAGGCCACTTGTACTCTCTTCTTTCTGGTAACGGACGTTGCCCATGGCATGAAGTAACTTAATTTATAAGAAATTCTATGGGGCATATTGACATAAGGGGAACAAAGAATGAATTGATACATCTCTGCTAAGCTTGTATTCTTTAAGACGAATAATTCTTATGCCATTTTATACACTGTGCTTAAATGTTTAGCACTTTTTTGCACTAGTTCTAATAACACTTATTCTTGGAGATGGTTTTAAGACTGTGCTGTTTAATTTGATTGCATAAAAAATATATCACATCTGTATTTCTGGTCTATATCTGTACTGTAAGATTTTCTGTTTTATTGTGTTTTGGGCAGAATAGTCCCTGCTCAGTGTTTAACATCAATAAAGACTTATTCCATCCACACGTGGTCTATTGTCATCTGAAGGAAAACAGAAGACAAGCTTTTTACACTTTCGTTGATACGTTTTGAAGTTCTCGTGCCTGTTTAATTCCAGTGCTTAAAAAAAAAAAACTATGATTTAGGAATAAAATTAGAAGGAGCCTGGCTGTCTGATCCACTTGTGTTATATGCTGACAAATTACTGAAGTTATGTGTGACGTCGTGCTTCACCTGACCTGTTCACAGTACATGTTGCAGTGTTTCGAGGGACCAATTTTTTGACCTTCTACCTGTTAATCATGTGTCATATTAACAGGGAGTGTGCATCTCCATTGAGCCACTGAACAATCCTTAAACTGTAATAACATATTTAACAGGTTAGAGAAGAATCCCTTCTAAAATTGTATGAGAAGTCACACATTCTATGTAAATAGAATCTTGGAGGTGCAGTGGTGAACTTCCAGATATCCACAAAACAGCATTACATAAGTCAATGTTTCCACTTAATGCTAAAAAAGTAATGTTTTACTCTGTTCCTTCCAAGATTTCCTTTATGAAAGGAATCAGTTCACCCATTCATGTATTTTTGGGTATGAACCACTACAGAGATACCTTACAGACTAACTTGGATTGTTTCAATGCAGTCAATCTGTCAGCCGCCATTCTTAGACACTCTGTCATTGTCCATTGAGTACTGGAAGTGTGATACTTAAATGCCAGTTTAATTTTCATGCCGGGATATTAGCTTTATGGGTACAGTGTTGACATTACACGTCCAACCATATTCCTAACAGCAAACCATATAAAAGGAGCCATCAACTACGTGCTATTCCCAGTGCGGCGGAGCGATGAAAGGCCGCGGCTGATTTTGCAGTGACCCCTGAGGAGGCTCCACCTCAGAGGATCCCATCTGAGCTCAAGGAGCAGAAACTGAATCTGAAAGACTTGCACGCGCGTACATCTGTTGGACAGCTTGCCTTGGTCACATGTAGCCCGGGATGCGTGTGGTCTGGGAATGGTTTTCACCTGTTGCTTTGTGGCGTGGTGGTGAGGCAAGGCACTGATGTTCTACTCTGAGTTTGAAGTTAAGAAAGGGGTTTGAGCTTGAGAACACCTGTAACAGGTTGAGTTTCTTACTAGATGTTTATGAGGGATGCAAACTTGATCAATTGAATTATAATGAATATTAATGGATTTTTTTGTCGTATCAACACAGCTCTAGAAAATGTGATGAAGGTGTCTATCGGGAGCAGTGTCTGCCCCACAGCTGAGGCTGCTGTGTCTGTCAGTAGAAGGTTACTGGCTCAAATCCCATCATTGGCATGGTGATTGTCCCTAATCCCTGATTACCCCAAAGACTGGCAGCTCCTGATTTCTCAAAGTTGCTTTGGATAAAGGTTATTACTAAGTAAATAAAATGTATATGTTGGAATAGTTTTGTGTCCCTCACATTTCAAATAACACAACAGGTCGGCGGATTCTTCTGAACTTACTTTCGCAGCATTCTCATTATTGCTAATGATTTTATTCCTCTACGTAATGTAGAGTTCAAAGCCCTGTGCCAACAGACTGAGAACAATGTCCAGTATCATTAGCATCTGACGTGAAGATACTGCAGATATTTATAAAGCTGAAAAATGAACATTAAACGGTAGACTCACTGAGTGTAAGCTGGGGAACTGGATTTGTCATTGTCATGAGAACCTGATAAGCCTGTGATACTGTTTTTTAATATACCTGTAATGCTAAAGCAATGGGAAGATGTCCCATATGGACATGTATGGTCGTGAGGCGTGGGGTGCGGGGGGGTGGGTAATAGTTTACGTGTTTGTGTGGGATTTCCCTCAGTGAATCTGGTTTGCCTCCACAGTCTAAAGTAGGATTTTGTATCACTTCTGATGTGTGAACTCCTTGCAATAGACTTGACTCAAAACCGCCAAAAAAGCTGACACAAATGTGGCAAATCATAAGCTATATATCCCTCTATTTTTCATAATAGCAGGGTCGTGGTGAGTCTGGAGCCTGTCCCAGGAAGCACAGGTTCACGGAGCATCTTGGACGGGGCTCCGCACAGTCACAGGAACAATAACAAACTGTTATCGATCCGGGTAACAGCGTGTATTTGGGCTTTTGGGGGGAAACCAGAGAATGCAGAGGAAATCCACTCGACATGGAGAGAGCATGCAAACCCCACAAACACAGAACCTGGGACAGGAAGACGAGCAAGGCTATTGCACTTCCTAATGAACCACAATGGCAAACAAACAAATGAACGAATGAACAAACAAACAAACGAATGAATGAAAGTCCATGTATCCATCTATTCATCTTGGTTACAGTAAGCCTAGAACCTCTCCTGGCAGCAGAGGACACAAGGCAGTGGAACATGTAAACTGCACACTCACACAGAGCTAGGGGTGGGATTCGAACCCCCAGCCATGGTAGTGTGAGGCTGCAGGACTATCCACTATCAGGCATAAAATATATATATATATAGAATTCTAAAGACATAATTAAATGAACACAAAATAATCCCACCAGTGGCTCTGTTGGGGGAAGTGTGACGACTTCCTCCAGGTACTCCGGGTTCTTCCCACAGTCCCATGACCTGCAAGGTCAATTTGTTTCTAAACCAGACATGCTGTGCGTGCATGTGCCCAGTGATGGACTGGCAGATCATTTAGGGTGTTTCCCTGACTTGTGATCTCTGCTGTCTGGAATATGCTCCAGACTGCAGAAACTGCACTGAATAAGCAGTCAGATGGATGGAGGAGATAGGCATAATTCCGGGAAAACTATGCATGCCTGTACCTTTAAAAAAGCCTACGATAATCAGGTTTGTTCACGTAGCGACGCTAATGCAGCAATAAGCGGGAATGCACGCGCCAGCTTCAACGCTTCGAGGAACAAGTTACGGTGCGGACTCCCGAAAGGCTGGACAGCTGCATTGTTGTAACGCATGAGGAAAGTATTATTCCCATTTTTATTTTAATCATATTTTTCCAATTTATCCCCCAAACACATTCCATTACATTGAAGTCTCCCAGCCGCGCGTTCGCTTGCGCGCCGCGACAGATGCTCAGACGGGGGAGTGAGCCGAACAGCAGACGGGCGGGAGAACCGTGCCAAGAGCCGACTGATCCTGCAGTTTCAAAGGCAGCCTGACACTTTGAGGATGGCGGATCGCCGCGACGTAGACGGGGCTGTGTGCGTGCGAGGAGAGGCGCAGGCGCGGCCGCCTGTCTAACCGGTGTATGGTCCCCTGGGTCTCTACAGTACTGTCAGCACTTTAGGAGGGGCAGGGGGGAATCCCATTGTTTTCAAATACTATTATTACAATCCATTCAGAGGCCTTTGTGCTTTTTTTGGTTCTGCTGTTCATATTTTTTGTGGAAAAGGGTCAGAAAGGGGGCTGTGAACTAGTCTTACAGTACATCTCATTTTCCATGGTTTCTCCTTTTTTTAAAAAAAGGTACTGCGGAGTTTCCCATTATGTTAGACCTCTTTGATAATTAAACAAGAAGCACAGTCACTCCATGTGTGTTGCTGACCTAATACAGAACAAGCATGATGTATATTTTTCCAGCAATTAATCACGATTGTCCCTGGTGTGATTATGCATGCATTCCCCTCTAGAAGGGAACACTGTGAACCAGTAGTCAAAATTCTACCCTTTAATTGGTATAAGTAGATAATTTCCATTTCTGTCCACCCAGCCATCTTCTAACTCAGGGGTGCCCAACTCCAGTCCTGGAGGGCCGGAGCCCTGTGTAGCTTAGTTCTTTCCCTGTTCCACCATAAATGGTTCAGCTCAAGAGCTGTGTGGTAATTAGCACAAGGAGTTGAATCAGGTGTGTTAAATGAGGGGAAACCCAAAAGTGTGCAGGGCTCTGGCCCTCCAGGACTGGAGTTGGGGACCCCTGTTCTGACAGTTTAACCGGGGGCTTGTATCACAAAGCTGGATTTGTTGGATAACTAGATAACTTGTCAGATTTAAGGTAGCCCAGTTTAAATGGAGCCTAGACTACCTTAAATCCGACATATATTTTGTTAACCCAAAAATCCAGCTTGGTGATACAGGTCACTGGTCTGGGTCATATGCTGTTGTCCAAAGCAACATACAAGCTGGGGCATCGGAGGGGCATGTATACCCTGGCAGATTCCGGGGGCGCAAGTGAAAAGGTAAAACTGGGAGGGTGTGTAAAAGGTGACATTCTGTCAGGGGGCGCAGAATTTCTAGGCGTATGAGTGATGCAAATAGCACATTAGAGACGTACATGCAGTGGAGGAGCTGGTAATAGGCATTAGTGCAGCTAGGCTGAGCTTCCAGTGAACCCCCAGTTATAAGCTGCAAACAGCACAGGAGCGAGAGCTACACGACATCGTCCAACAAAGCAAGATGGTAGCAAGACAGCTCAATGACCAGAAGTGCAATAAAAAACATTCAGGGAATACAGAGAAACATCAGGCTAGTGGAGAAATCCTTGTAATTGATGCATCTTCAGGTGCAGAGGGAATCTGATGACCAGGCCTGACATTAAGCCTAAAGCCTTTAGCGTTAGACCCCTCCTCCCCCCACCAAATAAATGTGTATTTATTGGCTTAAGCCACAAATAACTATATATATTGTGTATATGTTTGCCCCGCCCCCAGTAAAGACTCACCCCCCCATCCATTCATTTCTAACTATACCCTTACTGAGGATCCATTTCCAATTTAAAAGTGTTTTTAAATATTTTAAAATACCATTTTAAGCAACATTATTTTCTTGTCAGTTGATCGCAAATAAAACTCAAAAGTACTACATCACAGTAAGAGACATGACCACCAACCACGGCATACGTGCTCCGCAGCTGACTGGCACGCAGATAGCGTTGTAAATTATCATTCAAAGTGATACGCTGCGTAAATGACACTAGTTCTTTCCTTTGAAGTGACAGACTCGAGGGTATGAAAATCTATTGCTGTACATGTGTTATTGCTACGCTCCGTGCCCTTTCATACTGACGCTTTGAAATATACG